TAACTTTTTGTACAGTTAGGGTATTTATGTAGTTTGAGCAGTGCAACCACTTGGACCTCTTTCCACCGCCTGGGTATCTGCACTGTCTCGTGAAAGAATTAAAGAAGTCAAGAAGCCACTCCTGTGCTCTTGTCCTAAAGTGACCCAATAGTTAATTAGATATACATCGAGTCCTGCTGCCTTTCCACTTTTCAGGGATTTCATGGCAACAGTCAGCTCCCCAGTGTTGAGCTGCTCATTGTGGACTTTGCCGTCTTTGAGGAGTGAGCAAAGTTCCTGCTTAACTTGTTTTGCTTTGTGCTTTACGGACTGGTTTACCATTTAGGATGAAATGGTTTGTGACATGGTTGGGAGAGACTTTGGCAACGAGCTTTGGTTGTTGTCCATCAGGGTTCAGCTTGAGAATGGCGGCTCATACTTTTATACAATTACGGCACAGGTTTGTTCTTTCAATCAGCTCCCTCCAAGGGTAGCATCCCTCCTTTCTGATCTATCTCAGAAACATTTCCCCAAGCCCAATTTTTTCTTCACCAAAGGGATCCGAGTCAAACAGTTCTGAATATCTTTTCTATTTTGGCTTGTGTTTTTCTAAAAGACCAGGTATATTTAGTGTCCTACAGCCCCTAGGGATGTGCTTTTGGGCAGTTTTCAACAGGAGGGAGACATATTCTCCATAGTAGTTGTGTGACAAAGAAATATTACAGCTGGATCCATCCAATTCAGAGGAAAAGACTTCCCACTCAGCCTTTACCATAATGATGAAAGCAATTTCCATATCTCCTGAAATACTTTGCTGTTATCACACACTGACTGGGAGATGTGCAAAATAGCTGAGTATTGTAAAATTATAGAAGGTATTTGGCGAGGGTGATGAAGTTTTCATAATATCAAAATGGATAATTCTTTGAGAAATAAAATGTGCTCGCTCTATATTTCTAAAGCCAGATGTTCAGATTGTGGGTCTCTGTTGGCTCAGACTTTTTGCAGCATCTGGCTGTCATGCTTCAGTTTTCCCCTCTTCCAGCTGGGGGGCCACAATCAATCAGTGATGTAGGGTTCAGTCCTTCATACTAACCTCGATAAAACAGTCCTTCTCCTTCCAAGGATCAACAAAACATGTCCAAACTAAACAAACTAGTTCATCCAGCCCTTTCAAAGCTTGCTGGTCTTTTTTTGCCCAGTTAATGCAGGGTTCTCCATTTTAGCCATCCTTTTCCAAACCCTCTCTGTAGGCTTTATAACTCAACAGTCCTTTTTTCCCCTACAAGGCTGGGTGTCAGTCCGTCCCTTCTATAGTGGAGCAGCAATGGTGTATGGGATCACAGTACCTCCCTTAACACTGTTGGTTTAAAACAGGGTTCAGAGTGTGTGTTGCAAGTCAAACGGTAACTAGATTTAAATGGCACCAAAATCTTAAAAGCTGTTGTGCGATTTCATCTAAAATGGAAGAACTCTCATTATACTGGCTGTTCTCACAAAATGTGCTGGTTGCATCTGAACAGGCTCTTTACTGGTTTGGAATCTGAAGGACTCCTGAGATTCAAGCGAAGGAGGGTCAAATTTGAGATTCCAGTTCCGACCATCTCTAATTTTAACACTGGAAACACAAATTGTAGTTCCTAAAAATTGCCAAAATGTATGTTACTTCTTTAATAAAGCATGAATTAAGGATATGATCCTGGCAGGTGCAGAGGCAGTTGAGTGTACACAGCACATTGCAGGAGGCTCTCAGCACTTTCCACATCACATCCTTAGTCTGTATGAAAACCAGGATAGATGAGATATTTATTTCACAGCTTCACAAATTTGTAAGGCAAAAGCAGTACTAGTGGGGCCCTATACAGTAAGTGGCATGAATGCATAGATCCAACTTTAATCCACTGATTATGATTAATGAAGCACAATCATTAGTCCCCACAACATCCTCTTCTCAAAATTCATTTGTTGCACAAGATCCATATCCATTAGCTCCATCAAATTTTGTTTTGGTAAAGAAAATGAGATATAAAAAAACAGACACATATTTTTGGTTTCCCATTGGGAAAATATATCCTGAAAAATGTGGCGTAAACACATGGAACAATAGCCTCCTCAAATTTAACCCTAAATATATGCCTTTGCAGAAGTAGATATAGGGCTCCAAAGTGTTTAATAGATACACACACCATTTATATGTACTCATGCCCGTAATTTATCCCATGTCAGGGACAGAATGTTGGTGCTAGGCAATCTATTTATAATAGCTTCTACATGAAGTCAATCAGTATAACAACCTAACATACGTGATAATCACCTAAAAACGCACTTGGTAATTTCTTATTGCTTTAAGAACAAACTTTCAGACCTTAATTAAATAAAACAAGATCTTCATTTTTCAGACCTTTGAAGCCAAATGTTTAATGCTAAATGCTGGAACTAATTCCACACTTTAAAAATCATTGCATGATTTAAAATATATTTAACAAAATGAAATGACGCTGTGATTCAAGCTGTACAAAACTGCTTGTTCCAAATAATCTTTCATGTATTATATTTGTCCCCTTACTATTTTTCCTGTAAAAAGAGTCTTATTTTAACAAATTGCATTGTATTACATTTAACATTTTAATACAGTATTTTCCAGATTTTATTTTAAAATATGCTTTTTAATGGGAGTATTTATCATTTTTGGCCATTTAGATTATAGGTATGGGATCCTGGTTTATATGGCATCTTGCTACTGTGGAACTTTTTCTTTTGGCTTTTTTCAGTCATAAATTCCCTGCCAAACAAAACAGTAGAAGGGAAATCATAAAAGAGCTTTAAAATACTAAAAAAAGAAATAAGTGAATGAGTGATCTAAACATAACCGGGAGTTCTATTCCCATGACCTATGAGAAGAAAAAAGAAAGGGGAGAAAGAAAAGACATAATCAAGACTGCACTCCATCTCCAAGCAATACAACTTTATCATTTAAACCAAAACTATTTTAAACATCATATAAGCCATTAAAAGAAAATATTCAGACTTGAATTTGAGATAAGAAGGAATTTTTCTTTTTTCTGAACCTGACAAGTCTGAGCTAACTTTGCTATTCTAAAGGTCTCATGGGAAAAGGAAAGAATTAAACACACACAAGAAAAAGAAATAGACCTATGTTTGCCTTAGGCTTTGCAGGCTAACATTAAAACCCTCTGTTATTGTCTGACGCTGTAACTATCAACTTGTGATGGTATAGTGCATGGTGAGTTACAATAAAAGCTTTTAATGTGAACAATTAAGAAAGCATACTGCAAACTTGAGCTAGATTATGTAACTGGCAGACTACCCAGAAGAACCCATCGCAGTGGAGAAGACCAGGAGGCATTATGCCAATGTTCCCTGGGCTCTCCTGTTGCTCTGGCATGGAGGGAATAATTTGTGACACACCTTTAGAGGTACAACATACTCCCTGCTGCACAGCCAGCCTGATCTGCTGGCCAGCACACAGGGGTAGAACCATAGCCACACCAAGTTTCTCCCAGAGGAATATCTGGCATGAAACCCCTGCACTTCCTGGCGCACTCACAGCTGTGATGTGGATAGCTCTTACATGGCATGGCCTTACAAGGCAGGGGAGAATCCTTACTCCCTCCAATTCCCCTACTGGGATACTTAATGGCCAGGCACAATCTAAATGGAAATATTTTTCACACATTTTAACAGACAATATGCAGCAAAAACAATATATCAAAACTTATAATCCTCTCCCTCTCACTTCGATGATTTTCAAGTATTTATCATTCTAGTGCAATGTAAAATACCCCTGGTTAAAATGCTCTGTGTACTGTCCTTCACTAAATTCTGTTTGCATGGATGATGAATGTTGCACTAGTTGCAATGCTATTTCTGTTCTGTTTAAATTTGTAGAATGAAATAAAGGTTAATTAAAATAATAATAATATTAAACATTTTAGACTTAGAAAGTTTTAAAAAATGCTTGATATCTCTATGCATGTATTTAATTTACATAAGCATAAACAATTAAATGCACAAGGCCTGATTACCATGAACAATCAAACAATCAGAGATGCAAAAATACAAGTGTATTTCTATATGGAATGACTGGGACCGCATGTGTTAAATAGGTGAGTGCATTCACAAATGGCTAGACACACAATTGATCATTTGTACATGCAATTACTTGACATGTGTATGCAATCAGATTAATTGCACCCAGAAATTATAAATTCAAATGCGCCTGCATTTCTTGGCATGCAAGTGTGTAATTAAGTTTCTGTAAATAAGTTTAAGAAATATAAATCATAATTGATTTTCTTCAGCTTTAACTGCAACAGCAATCAACTGTAGTGGGAGCTGAGGATGCTTAGCATCTTTTGGAAGGTACTCAGTACCCCTCAAGATCAGAACTTAATCTACAATATCAAACCTTGGGCAAAATCCTGCCTCCATTGAAGTCAACTGGAGTTTTTAAACTGACTTTAGCAAGGCCAGGATTTCACGCCTTGTTTCTGCTGGTACATAGCAAAAGTAGCATATAACATACATATTATAACTGCTGTTGAATAACCTCCATGTGGCCATAGACCGATGCCAAACATCTATAATGATACCAATAGATCTTTAGTTCTGGAGCCTTACAGTTCCATCCATCTGAGAAAAACAAGTGTCTACTTTAAAAGATCTCAGCACGATTCATTGGCATTCACCCTGCATGCCAGACAGGAAGGGACAGATTTTTAAAGTTGCATCTTTAGCCACGTAAATACCTTTAAAAAATTAGCTCGAAATTCCCTATTGACCAGTTAGAATTTAAGGTTTTAGAACTATAGAAGGGATCTCACTGCAGCAACTAATTTTACAAAACACAGTAGATGAGCTCATTTGTACTCTCTTACATGTAATTATTAGCTAGGGTGTGAGAAAACTCAACTGCTTTGACTCTTCTGATAATTAATTTCATTTCTGAATAGTGTGGCATGTAAACTGAAACAGTTCTCAATTGTGTGCATTTTACCTACCTGAGGTACCCACTTTGATGAAACAAAACTGGTTGCTTCTATTACAGACAAGCCTGCTTTGGAAAGTCGGTTGATTAAATCAATTTTGATATCTGTGGGAACTGTAACCTATGAATATGGAAGCATTTCATTGTAAAATATCTGTCATACAATAAGTACCTTTTGCAAATAAAATGCCCACAGTACAAAATAAGCATCCACACTTTGTTTAAAGTAGTTAACCATGACCACATACTCTTCCCCTTATGTGCAGGCAGTGGGTAGCAAACACACAATGGCCCAGGAAGCAGTGTGCATGCACCCACTCCATTCTGCACCCCTTCCCTGGAGTCTGAAGAAGCCATTCCATGAGAACACTGTACACAGATGGCTTCACAAGAGATGGCAGAGGTGGGGATAAAGCATCCCACAGATGAGTGGGGACCTAGGAAGCAATCACTGTATACAGCCTGGTCCACTGGGAGGAAGAATGCCAAAAATACCTACAGTAATTAATTTTCCCATTGTCATATTAATGCTCCAGCCACGGTGAGGTACATGAATCTGCCTTGCTGCCTATTTAAAGGGGTGTTTTATTCTGGGATATGGTTGGGAACCATGGCGTTTGGGTGCAATTTTACATGGCCCAGCTTTATTCCCACTATATTAGGCCATCATCCAGTTCCCATCCCAGCCATCAGGTGGAAGATAGGGTAGAAACAGAAATCTTGCACAATTTATGGCAATTTATTTTTCTTCTCCCATCGGCCACTCCTCAAGAAGGATGATAGAGCCTTAATTTATTAATGTAGCATTTAAGGTGCTGATCAGGGATCAGTGCCACAGAGTGCTAGGCATTTCCTGCACCAAACAGTTTTCAATCTAGGTTATGACATCATAAAGCTGATGGACACAACAAATGGGAGGAGTAGAGATGGAGGATGGTGCAATAGTAAAGCAAGCATATCTCAACACAACAAAACAGTCATGGCTTGCTATTTATTTTAAATATCCAATTTAATAACCAATTAATTAGGTGAAAAAGGATTAAAAATTATGACATGTAAATTGTACATAATGATAAGCATCCACATGAAACTATGCAAAAATGGATGGTGACAGAAATTACCTTTTCATTTTGTAATCCGTCTCTTGGCCCAACTTCTACAATTTTAACATAGTCAGGAAATCCAGATATTTGAAATTCCTGAAACACAAGATGATAGATTCAATATTAAATAAAAATACATGTTTAACATATTATCAGCTTTATCATTGCTTCTTGTAAACCCGGATATAAAGTCATTTTATCAACAGCAAAGGAAACATGCCTGCAGGATGCCTTTAAAAAAATTCTGTGGGGCCACGTGTTGCACACCTTGGATGGGAGAAGATGTGAAGGAGCAGAGTTTATTTGCATGAATTTTCCATTTTTCTATCAGGCTCATAAATTATTATTATCAATTATTATTATTATTAAACAGAATGTATTTATTTAAATGAACATTGTACTTTATGGCACAAGACATATTTCCTATATCAAAAAACTTACAAATTAAGGGCCCAATCCTGCAAACATTTATGTATGTGAGTCCAACTGAATAATGTGTGTACATGTTTGCAAGATTGAGCCATACATCAGACAAGACTGCGGCACGCAAATCAAGGGGAGGTGGGGTGAAGAGATTATTAATGATGACATAGAAGGAGGACATGCTGGAAGAGGTAGACTTTCAATAGGATTTAAAAGAGAATAGGAAAGGTACTTGCCAGACAAGAAGAAAAAGTTTACAGGTGTAAGAGCAGATTAAAAAGGTGGGAAGCTGAGGTGGGAAGAGGAGAGGAAGGCAGCAATATGGTCAAAGAATGGGGAGTAAAGAGAATGTGGGGCACAAAAGCAGATGGAGGGAAATGAAATTTCCCTTGTTTGTTATTTGGCTGGTCTGATATTGAATCAACTGGAAAGGTGAGGAGCTATTGTAATTAAGGCCCTATGTAATTAAATATTCACAGGACATTTTGAAATGGTTTTACAGCAATTTAGAAATAAAAGCTGTATGTCTTTAAAAACAATTCGAATGGTTAAATTGGGCATAATACTACAGACCCATTTGGGGCAGGGATAGTGTGGAAGCACATGGTACTGTCAAGAGATCTGGAAGACACTGTGCTCTCTGCACTTCATTGAATGCAGTCCAATTCAAAGTCTTCATTTCCACAGTTAAAGCCCTCTATGAGATTAATTCTTGCTACTTGAGAGAATGCCACTCCCTCCATGACCTCCCATGACCGCTAAGTTCCACTAAACTAGAACAATGAAACTGTGGACCAATAGGAGAAGTCTCATGAATACAGGAGACACGGCTTTCACAGAAACCAGATCTAGACTTGAGAAGTCACTTTTGCAAAGAATAAAAAAAACCTAACTTCACAGCATTCAGTACTAGACGTAAAACCCATCTTTCAACCCAGTCACTGCAGTTTCAACCTAGTGGCTGGAGAACTTCTATTTTCCAGTGAAGTATTGGAAAGGGACACAGAAATATACCTTTATAGCATCATCATATTGTCTCCCACTGACGTCAGTGGATACTGTGTGCATATGTGGCCCACAGATTATATTAAATTCACTGTAGTAATATACACAATCATACTAAAAGTACAATAAAAAATCAATGCAGTTAGTGTACATTTATCTGAGCACTGTAAAAAAAGAAATAGAAAAAAGCTGTATAGCATCTATGAGATCACATTCAACATCTGGTAAGCTAAAACTTTGTTGGCCCATGCTGAGCTCACACTCACTGAGAATATAAACCTATTTAAATTTGAAGGTAAAACTTTCACATCTGCTGCATATTGTTTTTCTTTTTTAAAAAAAGTTCTTTTCACAAATATGGCAAGACTTCAGCAAAAAGGGCATACATCTGGGTATTTTCATGATTATCAGGTAATTGTTGTTACATGACAAATGCCACAGCTGAGCTATGAATAAAACTGTGACTATAGCTGAAAATAAGAGCTAAAATGAATTAAATGAACTGAACCTTATATTTAGTGCATGAAAATTTTTCATAAAACTTTGCTTGCCATATTTTTTTCATTCTATGGGCCAAATCCTGTAAATCCTTATTCAGTTCTTATTGTGGCAAGACTTCCATGGAAATCAGTGGGCCAAACCCTCAGACCTGTTTAAATAGCCCCACACTACTTTGTACTAGGCACTGGGTCAACCATTTCAGAGGATGATGGGAGGGTGGAGAGGACAACAGTTCTGTGGTGGCCATTTTAAGGCAGCAACCAAGCAGTGGTGCATAGGGGATACAGTAGTATAAGTGGATCCAAACAGACAAGAGGGGGACAAAGAAGCAGCTGTCTGGCCAGCATGTATTTAACAACTGTGAAAAGAAAGGGTTGCCACACCGTGGAAGAGCTGTAACCTTTCAAACTAAATGGCATGCCAGAACCATTTTGAATATTATGAAGGACCTTTGGGTCTATGAATACTCATTGGGTAGATAGGACACTGGATAGTTAAGTTCAGTGAAGGAGGAAAAGAAGAGATCTACTTCTGTTTGGGGACAGCGAATACATGCAAAGATCAGAACCTAAGAGCATATGCTGACCCTTTTTGTCCCTTCCTCCCACTGGGGCTTAGGAGTTACTGCAAGTGCATGGCTTCCATGGGAACATATGTCCAACTTTGTTTCACAACTTTACATGTAAATTTATGGGAAACAAATCTGTTCAATTCAACCTCCACTTTCCCAGTCACAGGTAACCATACAAAGCGGAAGTTATTCAACGCAGCTCTGATACTGCACATTAAAAAGTGTAAGATTCGAAGAAGACACGTAAAGTTCCCCAGCAGTCAAGCCACATAATATAAAAAAATCAACGCAAAATAGAAACAAAAAATGAAATCACACTGTACATTCTGACAGGGTAAAAGAAAGAGGAAGAGTTTTATAAAACTATACAATCATTCATGTTATACATATCATTAAATATGTAAATGATTTTGTTTCAAGAGCAGATGTTGACCTAATCATTTTATATGAAATACTTTTATGGAATCAAATGCAACAAAATATAAGAAGTAGCTATTATAGATATTGAGTAGCTACTATTTATTGAACTATGTATTGGCTATATTAAATAGTAACAACTACTCAAAGTACATTGTTTGAAATATCAAAAAGGAAATGGTTGACATAAAAGATTAAAAGCCTGGAAAATTTGTTCCCTTATCCCCATGTATAAGGTTTTGCCAAGAGAGAACAAAATGCATATAAAACCACTAAAAAAATGTTTGCCTCCTTCAAAACACAAAGCAGCCAAAGATTCCCCCCCCTCCCCCCAAATTTTAGAAAAGGAGAAAAGGACTGACTACCCATCCTGGGACACTGTATGCCAAATTTCAGCATAGAAACATTTTTCTCCAAGTTATAAATAGCTGAGAATAGAGGTTTAAACTAAGCCTTAATCATAGCATTATAATCCTCTTAAAATAACCATAATTGTAAACAAATCAAATAATAAACCTTCAAATTAAATAAACAGCTCCAGAGCTGCCACAGAATTTCCTGACGTGAGGATTGGTTTCTATGGACTTCAGCAGCAAGTATATCATTCTGCTGATTATCTGAATGTCACCCGCTGCTCAGCCAGTATCCCTGGCCTTCTGCTGCCTGTGTGGCACAGAAAATCATAGAAACCTGTTGCTGATTTAGGCCTTTAGAGCTTTATTTAGCCAACTAAATTGGTAAGGAGGAACACATTCCAGCTACACATTAGCAATAAATTCCAGTTTCATATGTTTTATATTTCCAGGCAGTTGTCTTGTGCAATCACAGGGTTCAGCTTTGCCAGTTAGTCACAGAGCTGCATTGGGGCGTGACGTGAAGGCACTACACTCCAGAAAGAGCACTAGGAACCATCTTGCAGCTCCCCATTGCAATTTTGCCTGACTCTTAAGCGGGCTGCACAAGAAGGGTTTGAGGCTCCTTAACTCCGTCCATTCCCACTGTACCACAAGAGCCAGGCAGATTCCAGCTATTAGATATTTAGTTGTAGCAGGTTGTGAAATTATGGTCCCCAGCATACGTCCCCCAATTGTGTCCCTCCAGGGTCATTTACTCATCCCTCACTTCTCTCTAAAACTTCAAAGCAGTCTCAGGAGAATGAAGGTTCAAGATTCCCAATAAAGTTAATTCAAGTGTTCAAACTCTATTAAGGTCCTGTTGGAAAATCCCAGTTGAGTTGCCTAAAAGCAAGAGCCTATCTAGCTAATACTGTAGTTATTCAAGACCAGATTGGTAAATTTGACACTGGGGACTGTAAATTTATAAATTTCCTGCATCTATTTATATCAATATATCAGTTCTATATCAATTTATATCTAGCTACATTCAAAATTTTCTATATGTCATCACTAAATATCAGGGCAACCCAACATATCCTTCTAACAATGAGTGGCAAAAGCAGAGTTATATGGTACCCCCTCAATTCCTTTTTTAATTAAAGGAGTTTGCTTTCTTCACAGGCCACAAAATGTGACTCCGATACAAACAGACCACAACAAGGCCACCTAAACAAATATTGTTGACATTGTTTGATACTGAGCAGCCCAGAAAAATGTAAGGTTATGATTATGGAGGGCAAATAGTTGACTAATGAGCTAATGAAGTTGACACAAATAAGCCTATATTTATTACTTTTGTCCAGATTTCTTATTGATTTCCTATTGTCCTATTGAAAATGGTTAGAAGTTTTGCATTAATATTTATGTATCAAGAGCTTGTGTGAGCTCATGAAAAAGTATTAAATTAGATATTTCAGGGCATTATTGGAGGAAATGAAGTGTATTCAACTCTTCACAGACTGGATATTTGCTAAGGGGATTTCCAGCAGTACTGAAAAGTTCTAAGACTTCCATAGTCATTTCCATTCATCACTCAACTATAACTTCACACATAACAACAATTACTAGACTGCAGCAAGACAGTTTAAAACAAAAGACAAACCAGATCAAACATGATATCATTAAATGGCTAATTCATTCAACAGATTCACAATTGTAACCTCAAAATGTAAAATACCAATGCTGGGTTAACATCCTAAAAGATACTGGTTAGTTGGTTTAGTTATATTCAGATATACATAGTAGGGCTTCAACAAAGTCAACACAAGCAAGTTAAAA